AGTTGGTTTATTAATTCCTAGTATTTGTCTGTTTGGTTTTCTGATACAAGTCATCACTATATAGTCCAGGATGGCCTTGAACTTGTGGCAATCCTCTTGCCTCATGTTCTCAAGTGCTAAGGTTATAGGACATGCCACCATACCTGGCTTCATTTTTGTTTTGATCCCAGCATACAGAGAAAGATGGAAATGAAGATTAAGTAGTAATTAAATTCCTACAATTCCCTTTAACTGAAAAAGTTACCTATGCAAATCCATTTTATAATGCAAGTTTTTCATATTAAGCAATCAAACTGAAGAAATCTCTCTCAACTATATATTCCCATGCCCCTTTTCAGACACTTGGTTTTAACACACAATGTAGATTTCACAAGACAATTCACCAAAAATAAAATGAAGTAATGTCATAGATATTGTTACAAGGAAGTATTTAAAATTCTTTTACAATGCATCAATAAGAATATCTAAAACACACTGGGCATTTTTGTCAAAATTTCTTGTGAAAAACACCAGAAGTATATTGATTCACTTAGAATATAAATTACTGAAGTGGCTGCATTTAATTTTGTGGAACACCACACAGGAGGGCCATAAAACACAGATTATTTGTTCCTAGCATTTCGAACAGCTGGCAGTGAGGATGGCCAATATTAGAATTAAGATGCAAAAACACTAAATAACAGTCATTTCAACTCAGTATCACCTAAATATATGCCAATTACAAATTAACAAACTGATCTCTTTGATTTTTGCTAGGGTCTGACAAAATAATAAAAGCTTTGGCAATACTTCTCAGTTCCATTCCAACAGATGATGCTCAAACGGTAGGATAAGCACGGTGGCCCCTTGCTTGCTGTGCAGGACACCAGTCTATAGATAACACCAGTGACCTGGACTCACGTTAACTGACTGTTGGTATTGACTCCTCCTGCTCTAAAATAGTTTGGGTTACAAAATTCATTATGCACAGAAAGGTTTTAAGGACATGAAAATGAAGAGCCTGAAAGCAAACTCTAAAATATTAATCTTAACATAATGATAATGTATTTTTTTAAAAGCTAGAAATAAGGATTTTGACTATTTTCACTATAATGAAATCATAAATGTCTGAGGCAACAGATGTTTCTACCCTGATTTAAATATATACAATCTATACACAATTTATTTTCTTTTTTATTTTTTTAAAGAATACAAAATGGCAAAAAAATTAGAAACAGTACCATATTCTCTTAAACAAATAGGAATTCAACAATGTTGTATTGTACAACATTATCTTCAAACTAACCTCCCATAAATAAATATAATTTCTATGGTGTATGTATCAGTTAAAAAATAAATTTAGCAATTTAGCAGTATAAAAAAAAAATCTCCGAATTTTGTTAATAAGCAGTTTTAGCAATCCTTTAGATTAATAAGCACCCCTACTCTAGAATATACACATATATAAAGGAAAGTAAACAAAATTCATTTATAATCTAAAATCAAGGCAAATCCCTGCATTAAAGATCCCCCAACTAATGCCATTCATATGTGCCTGATACTTATCAACAACCACTGGATACCTGGGTCATGACTTCACCAGGTTCTACACTAATGTTTCTGGAGACCTGATGAACAGGAAGATACACAAATGTATTAGACATCCAATGTCATCTGCTAGGTAAGTAAGCAACAACAAAACATCAAATGGTCAAAGAGAAAACACTTTTGAATCTCCAGACATGCTTTACGGCTTTCCTCAAGCCTCTAATACTGGAATGGCTGCGCAAATTATTTATCAATTTGGTAGATTATGCAACTCTTAACACTAAAGTTATAAAGCTATATAGCATGGAAAATTTTATACATTAAAAAATTTTTTTTCTTGGTTTTCTGAGACAAGGTCTCACTCAATAATTCAGCCTGGCCTTGAACTCTCAGTGAACCTTCTACCTCCACCTCTTGAGTGCTAGGATTACAGCTGTGTGCCACATGCCTGGCCAAGATTCCATAATAGCATAAAATACTTCAAAAATACATTTATATCTAGCTATCACTAACGAACTTTATATACACAGGAAAACTTAACATATTAAGAAATTGATATGTGGTATGATATTGGGCTGTCTCAACCCTCTGTATGGTTTACAAATAAAACTGGAAGGTCAAAAAATGCACTTACTCCTCTCCCTGAAGAACTGTAAAACTATCAGCAGTGCAGGAGTAATCGCCTCATATTTATGATCTACACTAAACACCAAAACTTGCTATATATTATCCTTTTGGGCATACTTCTGAGCAGGGTCAGCAGGTAGAGGAGAAACAAGATCCTGTTTGTATTCTGACTAAGACTGGGGGATGGAATACTTCACCTCACAAAAAAGTGAGAAGCAGTGTAAGTAAAGGGTGTGTTTTATTGCTACCACGAGGCATCAACTTTAGTATTAAATCTTACCAAAATGAACTACTATGCCCAATTAAAGTCCAAAAAATTACAAAATACAAGTGTTATGTTCTAATAAGTGACAAAAAGATTCCATCAACTTGATCAACTTTTCCACACATCAGAAATTACACCTCTGTACAAGGTGTAATTCTACAGAGGCACTTAAACTTAAGGATACTGAGTTGGGTAATTTTCTGACAGAGGGACAAGGTCATCTATTATTTATTATATGGCTGCTTTACAACTCTACTTGGGTCAAAAGCTCAGTAAGGCAACGCTAAAATTACACTAAAACTATTTGTACTGTGTCAAAAATACAGAATTAGTTTGGATTCTACTAACATGATTATAAAACCGCCCTTAACAATTTGGTTTTTTTTAGACCTTAAAAATCTTGTCTCAAAATACATACTGAAATGCAAAGGATGCAAAATACGCAAAGCATACTACAAAAAGATCCAAGTTATAGGATATAGAATTCCTAATTTTATAATTTATTGCAAAATTATAGTAATACAGATAGTGTGTTTGGGCCAGAGGGACATACAAATCAGAAGAATTAAAAATAAGCTTTCACATATACAGTCAACTGGGTTTTGAAAAAGGTGCTAATAAGGTAAGTCCATAGGGATGGAAGAGTCTTTGCAACACACAGTGGTGGGACGAGTAAAATAATAATGTTCCCCACTTCCTACCATACATGAAATTAACTCAAAATGGATATCTACATGGAACATGATCTATGTTCAAAGTTTAACAATTATTCTCTATTAGATAATCAAAATAACTAATGCAAATACCAGACATTTAAATTTAAAATGTTTTCTATTTCAAAAATTACTTTTAAGTTTCTAGTTCTAGAAAACAAAGCAAATAATTTAGATTACTCAACATAACATGAGAGGAGGCCAGTGAGATAGCTCAGTGGTCTAAAGCGCCTGCTTAGGCAAGCTCAGTCAGGCGTGGGAGACCACAGTTTGATCCCCGGCACCACATGCTGCACCAGCCCTACCCAAGTGGGCCAAAAAAAAAAAAAAAAAACACTTTGGCCATTTTTCCTCAGAAAAGCTGTGAGGCTAAAATTTCAAGGACAGGTGGACTGGATGAATTGGTGT